CTCCTCCTCCTCCTCCTCCTCCTCCTTCTCTTCCTCCTCTTCTTTCTGTTTTTGCTTTTGTTTTTAGTCTTTGTGAGAAAGGGTCTCACTATGCAGTTCAGGATGGCCTTGAGCTCACTTTGTAGCCCAGGATGCTTTTGAACTTGCAATGATCCTCCTGCCTCAGCCTCCTGAATGCTAGAATTATAGGCATGTGCCACCACATCCAGATTTATATATACAGCATTCTCATTTCTCCTAATATTAACATTTTTTACTAGTATGGCACATTGGTTATAATTATCAAATCAATATTGATTATTATGTAAAGTCCATCCTGTATTTAGATGTCCTTAGTTTTTTTTTTTTTTTCTGTTCCCAGATTCAAATCAGGGTATCATATAACCTTAGCTATTATGTCTCCTTTGGCTCTGTGATAGTTTCTCAGACTTTCCTTGACTTTGAAGACCAGGACAGTTTTGAGGAGGACTTGTCAGGTATCTTAGGTGTCCTTTTCAAGAATTTTGTTTATACTTCTCTCATGATTAACCTGGGTTTATGGGGTTGTGGGAAGAAATGCCCGAGGTGACGTGTCCTTTCCATCCTCTCAACATGACCTGTGACTGCTGACATTGATCTTGATCACCTGGCTAATGTTTGATCATCAGGTTTCTCCACTCTAACATTACTTCCAGCCTCCTTTTCCACACTGTATTTTCTAGTAGAAAGATTCCATGTCTAACCTGTGCTTAAGGAATGAGAAGTTATGCTGTCCATTTCTTTGGACTTTTCAAGTGAGGCAAAAATGCAAAAATGGATGAGAATTTATTGTCATGACAACACAAACAAGGTCCATGTTTCAGGGGAACTGGAGCTGCTGACAGCACCTGGTGGCCAGTGTTGCTTGCAGTACCCTGTGACTGCAGGTAACAGCAGTGTGTTCCACTCCAGGCGGCACTTGCTGCTATGCCTGAGCTGCTTTGTTTGCTTTGGCTCCTGACAACTTTCTGAACTTGTTCTCTAATTTCTTCAGTGTTTTGCAAACATCCAATATCCTTTCCCTTAAATGTTTTGTGTTTGAGTCAGAGGCCATTTCTCTTGTTTGTCGTTGAGAACCTAGACTAAGAAATCTTGTTGATGAAAACTTTTTCTTGCCCCCATCCCCATCTTCTTCCACACCCTCCTTCTCCTGACTTCTCATACTGTCAGTCTTAGAGGTCTACTTGTTTGAATGAAGAGATGCATGGAAAGGTATGCTAAGGTGAAGGCACCAACTTCATCAGTGGATAAACTCCTCGATGAATTCATAGCAGAGTGGGCATTAGAAGCTGAGGTGGAAGAGGTGGGTTCTGGGGGTAACCTTGGACATTACGTCTTGGCCCTTTGCCATCTGTGTCTTCCCCACCTTCCTTTCTGGGCACCATGTGTCTGGTGGCCTTACTCCATCACGCCTTCTCCCCACCATGTTTCTTAACTTGGATGCAGCCAAGCACGGTCTTCAACTGTGAGCCAATCTAAACCCCACCTTCACTAAGTCATGAGTGGTGGGGACTTCTGTCTGAGCAATGGAAAGCTGACCATAATATGCTTCTTTGCTTTTAAATCAAATTTATTCTAACTGACATACATAAAAACATAAAAAAATTTGCCTCTTTATGGACCACTATGTTGAGATGGGATGTTTCAGTCCACATACATGTTCAGCAATGTTGAAATAAAATTAAATATACCCATCTCTTTGAACACATTTCTTTATCATAAAACATTCAAATTTCTTTTCATCTAGCATTTTGAAACACACAAATTTTAACGTATAACTTTTAACTCTCGACCCTGACAACTTTGCCTTTATGCCAGGTACTGTATAGAGACTGCCACTGTGACTTAGTGTCCATCCTGTATTTAGATGCCATCAAGCTGTAGGACTTAGCTGGGCACATGGTTACCCATCCAAGGGCTAATTTCTTAACTACTCTTTGAGCTCTCCATGGATGTTAAAAAAATCTCTTTAGGAAGATACTAGTCCCCATAACTACTCTACAGCCTTCTGGATGACGTGCCATGTAGTACCTAGTGCCACCTCACTGGTCACATCACTGTCACAGATCTTCTCCTTTCTCACCAGAGCTACTTTTAACTTTCTGGATGATCCCCTTAAGTCTGGTCTTTTGCCACATACCAAAGCTTCCTCCACATTTCTTGTGGACAGGATATCTAAAAGCCAAATACATTTTGGAAAACTTCTTGTCGTTTAAAGCCCAAGTTTCTTAGAATAAGACAGGTCTGGCAGTCCTCTGTGTCCACATTGTACAAACATCTACTATTCTGAGCTCATACTCCGAACACTGTGAGGCTCCCTGCTCATGGGCCATGGTATTCTTACTCCCATTGCTTGCTTCAAGTGCTCTCTCTGCCCCAAATACTCATTTCTTCCCTGGTCCAGATGATTGTTGCCTCTCTGAAGTCTGAGTTCCAGTGTTTCTCAAGTTCTTTTCAGTAATTTGCTCCTCACACCATGCTGTATTTTAGCTTCCTTGTTGGTGTTCCCATAAGGCCTTGGTGTTCCACTCACAACTAGACTACAACTGCTTGTTTATCTGGTAGCCTGAGCTGCTCTCAGAGTTTGGGAACCGACTGTTATCATTTCCAGCCCCACATTCCTCCCAGCCAGAGGCCATCTTCAAAAAAGTAGAAGCCATGCTTCTCCACAAGCACTTTGACCCCAGAAGGAGCAGTAGTTTATGCTGACTGCCAAGGTCTGGTTTACTGTATGTCCCAGACACACACACACACACACACACACACACACACACACACTTCCCAACTTCTCTTCCCCAGAGGCTCTGGGGACAACTGGAACAGCTGACCAGAGGTGGAGTGACTCTCACTGCCATCAGCCCTAGACTGGTTGGTGCCCAGCACTGGCCAATAGCAAAATCTCCAATGTATAGGTGGTGATAGCATTGGTCATAAGCAGTGGTGACATGTGGTCCCCGGCAACACAGGCAGGTACTGGGAGCAGGAGGGGAAAGGGGTGGAGAGAGCTGCCAAGCCAGGTCTCTGGCACTCAGTGCTACCCCATGAACTCACAGTTGGCCATGTCAAATAGCCAGTGGGTTGGACTTGACCCATGGAATACACTTGGTTGCTCCCTGCTTTAAGTAATCAAGAAAATAAGAAATCAGGTCCTGGTTTGTAGTGCTTGCCAATTTCTTTAGTGCAAATATTCTCACCATGTCTAGTTTCAAGCTACTAATAGGACCTCACAAATGCTGGGTTGAGAAGAGATATAATAATTCAACATTATATACATTTTTGCTCTCTTCTGCTTCAGTCCACCATCCAGTGTGTGCTCTCACCTCCTACCCTAAACGTGTCTCCTCACAAGACTTTCAGAATCAAACAATTCCTGGTCAAGAAGCAAAAGCAGAATCACCCCATTCCCCAGCAGATTCGTATGAAGACAGGTAATAAAATCAGGTACAACTCCAAGAGGAGACCCTGGAAGAGGACCAGGCTAGGACTGTAAGGAGTTGCACATGAACTGCAACACATTTACCCTCTGGGAGGTCCTTTTTCAATCATGGTCAAGACAATACTGTATAAAGTCTTAAAAAAGGCAGTCTCGGGAGCGGCAAGGCGAGCGGGTCGCGTCAACCATGTCCTCAGGGCGGCGGCTGCGCCCTGGGATCGGTCCCTAGGCTG